TATAAATATAAATTTATTATCGATTTTTTTTTAAAAGAAAATTTTTTTTATATCTCGATTTAATATTTTAAAAAATTTTTTTTATATTTTTATAAAAAAAAAAAAAAAAAAAAAAAAAAAAATGGCAAAGTAACATGTTTCAGAAAATAAATAAATAAATAAAATTTTCAAATATGGTATATAACATATATATGTATAAAAGAACAAGTTCATAAAAATTATAATTTTATTTTAATATTATTATTATTATTATTATTATTACTTCATTGCCCGAAATTTTTTTTTTTTTTTTGGTTTTGTAATTTAAACGGTTGCTTTTCCTTGACCTTAAAACCTCGATTTATCGTTTTTACACATAAGGGATCTTTTATTTTTCAATGAATCAAAAAAAAAAAAAAAAAAAAAAAAAAGTTAATAATAATCATTTTCCCTTTCCCTCATTAATTTATTTATGTAATTATTAACAAATTATTAATGTGATAAAACACTCCAACTCTCAAATTATGTTCGACATAATAAAATTTATGTTAATTTTTTTTTTTTTTCGAATGAGTTAAAACAACAACAACAACAAAATAAATATGATTGATTGATTGATTATTAAATAAAAATTTTTTACTCATGGAAATGGAAAAAAAAAAAAATCACAATTATGATTAAAAAATTTAAACAATTTTTCATTACCTAAAAAAAATTTTTACTAACAATGTTATTTATTAAATTTACAACAACCATGAGTTATTATGTAATAAATAAATAAATAAATAAATTTCAATTCGATAATTTGAATATGTAGTTAAATTAATCGCTTTACTAATTTAGTTAATCGTTTCATTTAATTAATCAAATCGAATCACATTTGCAATGAATTCTCGTTTAAATCAAAAAAAAATATATTAATTATTATTTTTTTTTTTTTATAATTACAAATAATTATTATTATTATTTTGTTTCAAATCATTTGGGTATGTAAATAATTAATAAAATATTTAAATATTTGTAATAGGATTATTTTAAATATTGTTTCATAATCATTTTCTAAATTTCCAATACCGAGAGTAAAAAAAAAAATTATTAAAATTTTTTTAATAAAAAAAAAAAAATAATAATAATAATGAAAATAATTGCAGAAGATATTATATTATATACTTGAAAATTATTAATACTAATTAATGTAGAAAGTATAAATTGTGAAAAGTTTATAATTTTTTTTTTTGTATCAATTTTACCATTTGAAAATAATAGAGGAGTTATTAAATTGAGTTTTGAAATAAAAAGTCTTAACAAAACAACTAAAGAATTTAATTTTTTTTTTTTTTTTTTAAATTTAAAAACCGTCATAAAACTGTATCTTTAACTTTTTTAATTAATTAATTAGTCATTTAGATTATGATTTCAATTACATATTGATGAAACGATAATTTTTTTTTAACTGTCTTAAAAGCATATACACGTAACTAAAAGAATGTAAAGTTTATTAATTAAAAACAAAATTTTGTATGCAAGAAAATAAATAGAATTGTATAATTAATATAAATGAATGAAAAATATTTCAAGATAATTGCATCGTTGAGGTTTATATGAAAAATCTAAACGCACATATATGTCAACGTTAATTTAAAAAAAATTTAATGTTCTAGTAAAATCTGTTGTGTATTATAAATTTTCTTTTGTAAAATATTGTGTACATTTTAACAGAAAAAAAAAAAAGAATTCTTACCTTTTTCAAACTGTGCACTTAAATAATTGTAAAGTTTTTTAACAGGTAAATATAGTTTCATGATTTTGAAATGAAATTGTAACCGTTTAACATTGTAATAATTTTTATTTCGAATTCACTTAAACATTTACAATAATGAGATACATCATCCACGACTCACGACATCTTATGAACAACTACGGAAACACGGTAATCTTCTCCCACGATACACATGTGGGTTGTTTGAGGCAAAAGATGACGATATAACTTTCTATCGAAAAACCGGAAATACGTTTTTCAATATTACAAAATAAATGAATTTAATGGTTATATATATAAAAATTGCATTTAAAACAATGTTTGTCATTTTTATTTAAATGCAAATTAAATTTAATAAATATATATATATCATAGAAAAACAAAATTTTTTTTTCCTAATTATAATTTTCATTCAACGAGCTTTTTAAACAGATATTTTGCATAATTACTTTTGTAAATGAAATACACATCAGTATAAAACTGTTTTTAATCACTTTTAAACTTAAAATTTTTAATAATAATTTCAAAATTATTAAAGTTTGCAACGATAAATAAGTATTTGTACAACGTAGTACACAAAAAAATCTTGAAGGCATTGTTTTAATGGGTGTATTTTTTAATCGTTAAAGTTGGCAATAATCTGTCTAGTAGGGAATTGACCTGGAGGCTGGCATTTGACGTAGAAATTACGGCAATTATACTAAATTCTTAGATTCAAATTCTTACTGAAGCTACTGAAAATTAGCATATTTTTATTTTAATTCAAAATGGATGAAGAATACGACGCAATCGTTCTTGGAACCGGTTTGAAGGAATGCATTCTGTCTGGGATGTTATCGGTATCTGGAAAGAAAGTCCTTCATATAGATCGAAATAAATATTATGGAGGAGAATCAGCATCAATTACTCCATTAGAGGAATTATTTGGAAAATTTCAAGTACCAAAGCCGGAAGGAAAATACGGGAGAGATCGTGATTGGAATGTCGATTTAATACCAAAATTTCTTATGGCAAATGGTCAGCTTGTTAAATTGTTAATGCACACTGGTGTAACAAGGTATTTAGAATTTAAATGCGTCGAAGGAAGTTATGTTTATAATAATGGGAAAATAAGTAAAGTTCCCGTTGATCAAAAAGAAGCTCTCGCGTCCGATTTGATGGCTATTTTTGAAAAAAGAAGATTCAGAAATTTCTTAATTTACATTCAAGATGTTAAGGAAGACGATCCAAGAACGTGGAAAGATTGCGATCCCAATACAATGACTATGCAGCAATTGTACACCAAATTCAATCTTGGAAAAAATGTCCAGGTAAAATCAAACAAAAATGTTTAAACTGTTTTTTTTTTTTTTTTTTCCCTTCACAATTTTCTCAAAAGTTATACTTGCTTATTCATAAATTTTTTCAAATAATAAATTACATGGAATTATTCTTTTTTTTTTGCTGACATACCTTAAAATTTTATATAAAGCAAATTCAATTATCCAATTCTAAACTCTACATAAAAATTTTTTTTCAGGATTTTACCGGTCATGCTTTAGCTTTATATAGAGATGATGAATATTTGAATCATCCAGCTATAGTGACAATTCGAAGAATTAAACTTTATTCCGACTCTCTCGCTCGTTATGGTAAAAGTCCATACTTGTATCCAATGTATGGACTCGGAGAATTGCCACAGGGTTTTGCAAGATTGAGTGCAATTTATGGTGGTACATACATGTTGGACAAACCCATTGATGAGATTGTTTTAGAAAATGGAAAGGTAAACCTTATAGCCCCCTCCCTCCCCCCTTTTTTTTATTGATTATTATCAAACAAAATTAATTTATTTTTATTTGAATATGATGATAAGGTTTTAGGAGTGCGTTCTGGATCTGAAATAGCAAAATGCAAACAGGTTTACTGTGACCCCTCATATGTTCCTGATCGTGTTAAAAAAACTGGAAAAGTGATTAGATGTATTTGTTTAATGGATCATCCGATACCGAATACAAAAGATGCATTGTCAACTCAAATAATCATTCCTCAAAATCAAGTAATTTTTTTTTTTTTTTTTTTTTATGATCAATTATTTAAAACAAAAAGAATTAAAACTAACTGTATGAAAAACAAAAAAAATTACAGGTGAAGCGCAAAAGTGATATTTATGTTTCTTTGGTATCATTCACTCATCAAGTGGCTGCCAAGGGTTGGTTCATTGCAATGGTTTCGACAACAGTCGAAACTGATAATCCTGAAATGGAAATCAAACCTGGTCTCGATCTGTTAGGTCCAGTGCATCAGAAATTTGTTTCAGTAAGTAAAATAAACTTTCAACAATTATTACTTACTTTCGATAATGATAATAATAATAATTTTTTTGAAGATTTTATTTACAATCATTATGAGTATTCATTTTAATTCACTGATTGAAAATTTCAGGTATCTGATTACTACGAGCCGACTGATTTGGGTAACGATTCTCAGATTTTTATTAGCGCGTCATACGATGCAACAACTCATTTTGAAACGACTTGCCTCGATGTACTCGACATATTCCGACGAGGAACTGGTGAAGATTTTGATTTTTCAAAAGTTAAATTAGATTTGGGAGAAGAAGAGCAGTAAAAAACATAATTCTTTTCAGTTTGTTACGACTATTATCATTTTTTATATATATATATATATACCAGCAAATGCATTTGCCTCCCCATTTTTTTTTTGTGCGCTTTAATTGGTAAAATTTAATTTTTTTATCATCATTATCATTATCATTATTATTTTTTTTTTTCAATAACAATATAAAAAGTACAGTATTGTGCAATTATAATTATATATACATATATATATATATATATATATAAATATAAAAAGGCTCCTTGATTATTATTATTCCTGTTTTCCGCTTTTGGTGACGGAAATAAAATAATTATAATATTTTATTATAATAATTATATCCTAATTTTTTTTTATAGTTATAAATGTATCTGTAACTCTAATTTGTAGTCTATAAGATTCCTATAGCTCAATAAAATTATGTCAAAATGAATTTATTTCTCTTTTTTTAATTAATTAAATTAAATTAAATTAAATTAATAATAGAATAGAAAAATATATATGGGAAATTGCACATTCAAAATTTTAAAAAAATTTTTTTCTTTTGTAAGCTTTTAAATTAATTTACGTACAAGAAAAATTTTTTTTAATAAAATGCTTACTTAAAAATAATAATAATAATAATAATAATAATAATTGTATCCGAAAAAAAAAAAAAAAAAAAAATTTTTTTTTTTGTTTACTTTTTCTGTGATTTTTTTTTTTTGAAATATTTTACTTTTTGTTAATTTAAAAAAAAAAAAAAAATATTTTTGGCTTTAATATGCTTTTATATCTAAAATGATATGATTGATTCTATTTAATAAATATTTCAATTAATAATAATAATAATAATTTTTTTTGTAAAAAAACAATTTCTCAATAAAATTAACGAATTATATCAATATTATTTTATATATGTATAATTATTAAAGGTACGAAAAGGTACGGTAAGTGAGGCAAATTTTTTTTTAATTTAAATTTAAACTTATTACGTGTCTATAATTATATTATTAAAAAAAAATTATTTTAAAAATGTAAAGCTTTTTTTTTTATTAAAATATTAAAAATTATAATGGAATTATATTATGTTTGTTAAATAAAATACATACACTGCTGAGCAATTTAAAAATATAATTATTTCAATTTGTATTTAATTAAATGTTATTAACAGGTTAATATCAAATATAAAAATTATTATTATTATTATTATGAATTTTAGCTTTGATTTATACAAATAAAATATATACTGTAATATTTATATACCAGACGTGACATTTGTTAAGATGGAAAACAATTTGTTTTCTCTCCTTGTTCAGAATGGACATTTTTCCTGTGTTGATTCTTAGACAGTGAGTGTTAAATCTTTTACATGGGAAACCTTTTAAGTTTTCTCAAAAATGAACATAATAAACTTTACAAACATAGTTACCCTTACAAGTGAAAAGGATGAAGGCCTTAAACAATTCTACGATTGAAAAATAAGTACCCTTTTGCCTGGCTTTTAAGTCATCCTAGTTCCAAACCAACCATCTTCCTACCTTTTTGCCCTCTTTTTGGGAGAATTGCTAAGATTTTCAATGACGATGGGCTTAAAAACCCAATTTGGCAGTTTATGAGGCATCTAACTTTCGTAGGTGGGATTTTATGTTTAAATAATTTTCTGGTAAATGAAATATGTCGGAATAAGTTTTTCAAATTCTCATTTCTGACATTCCTCATTTAGATATTCTAATCTTAAATGGTCATTTAATAATGATTTTCATTTACGTCGTGGTTCTAGATTCGTTATTTCAAAACATTGTTTTGGTGCTTTTTCAAAATGAACCGTGATTGGTTCAATTATTTGATCCGTTACTTTTGCGTTCAAGAAGGTGGCGTGGGCTTTATTGCTGTAGTTTGTTAACTCTGACGATGGCACGTGTTAAATAGACGCCTTCCGTAATTCCTGTATCTGGTATTATTCCTTCTTTAATTTCAGGGCTGAGAATATTTATTCAGTCAAGAGTTTTTGTTTTTGCCTCGAGATGAAGTTTGTTTGTAGGTAAGATTTTTTCGGATAATGAAATTAAGAGTTTTGAAATCCTTTTCAATTTCACTATGCTATTCTTACTGTTACACAAAAAATTCCTTTTCTAGCAGACCGTCATAAAGAACGTTAGTCGCCTGGATTTAGGATGTGAAATTTCGTGGGCATGACTTTACCAACGAATCTTACCTTGAAGTTTGATTTTTTTCTTTGGAGTTGAATTTAGTATCAGATGTCAATTTGCAAGCTCTTATTACGTTTATGCTGGAACTGGTGTCTAAAATAAGTTGCAGTGACTTACCAGGATTTTCGGAGATGCCACACCATATTAAATGAAGTTCAAGTTATCATTAGTGATGAAGAATTTTATATTTCTAATGCCTTCCAGTGGCATACCGATCCCTCCAGCGTGGTTTCCTTCACTGGATTTGGAAATTTAAATGAACACTTTTTCCAGAGGTTCATTTTAAATTAGTGTTTTCATTTCTCTTCCTTAGAAAACATTCTTCCTGAAGAAATCCAGACTTTTACACTACCTTCTCGTTTTTGGGTTTTGAACTGAAGATGTTGTTTTCACAATATTTGACCTTGATCTTACCTTCCAGTCAGGTGGAATAGGATTCCTACAATTACAATGGTTACAATTTTTATTATCTTTCGTCATTATCAAAATTTTCTCTTCTGTAATGGCTGCTGATTATGCAGAATTTAGCCTATCAAAGTTTTTCCATCTCAACATTTGAGATATTTTAGGATTTGAGTGAAAAATAAAATGACCCAAGGTTATTTTGTTTACATAGTCAATTTTTACAAAAGAGTGATTTTTTATGTTCAATATCTACCTGTAACCGATTCATCTGATCCTTGTTTGCAATTTGTGATTTCTTGTATAAGTTGTCTACAATGTTTCTCGTCTTGATATCGTTCTAACAATTTTGTGTCTACACCTTTCCAGCTATCAAAGTTGTACATAGAAATTTGATCTCCTGCTTTACCAATGATTCTAGAGTACATGAATCTAAAGAGTGAACATTTATCTGGCATCTGAAAAAAATTCAAGGGCATGATCACAACCAGAAATAAATGCATCAAGTCGGTTTTAACCTCAAAAGACATTTGGGATGGATTGAATAAAGGTTGATTGATTCTAGGCATTGTTCAAAAAAATGATCACCTTTTCTACTAACCTAACAATATTATGAATTTCCTTGCCAAGAGTTAAAACTCGAATAATTCTTCTGGTTTCCTGTGTCTTAGAACATCCTTCAACTACCCAAAAAAATGTTATGTTCATATTCGAACTTAATATTTAACGTTGTAAATTAATGCAACATTAACTTGTAGTTTATTTCTTCGTGGCGTGTTTAATACTTGATGTACGCTTATGTAAGGTTGTACCTCTCTTGTGAACAAAATATTTGATCACCAACACTTACACTGAAAATTAAAAAAAAAAAAACGGACATTAATTCAGTTGAACAGACAAAGTCCTAAGAACGCTTCTTCACGTTTTCAACTTCCTTTTATATGTCTCACTCATTGTTGCTAACCGTTTTTAACAAATAAAAAAAAAAGAATTTCTAGACGTTTCGCTTTCAAATAGCCAGCCTAGGAGGAACTTCGACATCCATTTTTACACCATTGTTGATGTTTATAAAAAAAAACTGAATAAATTAAAGATGGGATTATAACAATTGATATCATTTTTTTTTTAATAATTTCCTATTATTCTCTGATTTATTGATGCATTATTGGTTTAGTAAAAATAAAAAAAATTAAATGAAAATTACCTTGATTGTTTTTTCTTAAAAAAATTTCCACCGTGTAAAGATAATTGTCTCTACAGCCGACAACAAATTCATTATTGATAAAAATTGGCGAAGAAAATACTTCGCCATTTAATTTTATGCGGGTAAAAACATTTCCTGAGAGTAAATTTAAAATATAAACGATTCCTTTTGTTGAAGCCACGCAAGCTGCGTTCACCTCGCCCAAATGAAAAGCAGAAGAACGAGAAAATATTGATGAATCTAATTTTCGCTTCCATAATAAATCAATTTCCTTATCCACACGTAAACAATATACGTTGGAATCGTTGCAACCAAATACAATTGATTTCATGTCTTTTAGAAAATAAAATGTCGGCGTGGAGTATATGTAACCGCCAGCTGTGTAATTCCACAACTAAAAAAAAAATTAATGAAAATCATAAAAATCTTTGAGGACATTCGATAAAAAAACCACAATTTATAATAAATGTTACTAACATTTGTACCCTTGAAAATATCAAAGCAATGCAATGTTCCAAAAACTTCAGTGAAAATAATTTCTTTATCATCATTTATTAAACATGGTGATGCAAATATTGGGCTTTTCAATTTTATTTTCCAATCAATTTCAAAAGTTATCTGAGACAGAGACACACAAGTTCCATCGAGTGTTGCTATGTGAAAAGTATTGTAAACTTTACTAATGCATCCAGAACTGAATATTCCTTTTTCGCTTAACTTTATTTTCTTTTGTAATACTCCACTCTGAAAAAAAAAAAGAAAACAATCAAATTAAATAAAAGATACACACAAGCATAAAAAATATGTCTTTTGTGTTTTTTTTCTTAAAGAGTTTAAAATCTGTCCAAGAGACTTACATTTCTTATAGATGTGAGTATAATTTGAAACATTGGACAATCATTTTTTATTCAACCCCTTAAATATCATAAATTTTCTTGAATTGGTTAACCAAATGTGTAAGCATAATAATAATAATAAAATTAAAACTTAAATTTAAAAAAAAAAAAATTAAGATATCAGGCAATACATACTTCCACATCCAAAATGTGCAAATGTCTGTCATAGGATGCGACAAATAAAACTTTTTCTTTAGAATCCAAGCAAGGTGTCGATTTGATCATATCATCCGTTTTAAATTGCCATTTTGTAGATCCATCAATCATTGATATGCAATAAACAAAATTATCATAACATCCCACAAATCCTAAGGTTCCATCTTTGGTAATGGCTACCCCTGATTCTATTCGACCGCCAAGAGTTTTGGTCCATAACACATCACCAGAGGTAATTAGTAAGCAGGAAATTTTAAAAGAATGAGATCCAACAATGACTCTTTCCTCTCTGAAATAAACAATTTATTATTAATTTAAGTGATTTTATGTTTTTATATTAAATTATTATGAAAAGCACAAGAAATATAAAAGAGAATCTTACCCTAAATAATTAAAGACTGTTGGTGTTGCATCGATGCATTTACCAAGATCATGCTTCCATTTTATTCTTAAATTAAAATTATCTTCACTACCATCATCATCTTCGATAAACTTTTTTTTCTTCTTTAAAGGCCCTTCTGCAGTGTTATAAATAAAACTTTTGTAACAGTCTTCAAAACTATTTCCATTTAAAATTTGTAAAATTAAATCTTGTGGTACATTTAATCCAGCATCTTCCAGTTTTCCAATCAATTGCAAAGCTAATACGGAATTCCCTCCGAGTGATGTAAAACTTTCTGAATTCAAATTGGGAATATTTGCTCTTAAAACATCATTCCATGCATTTTTAAAAACATTTTTTACATTCAAATTTGTATTTCTTAAAACTAATAATTCTTCTAAATAACTCAAAAGTTTAGTTTTGTCACATTTTCCATGAGTGTTAAGTGGAACTTGGGATATTTCAATTAAATAATCTGGTTTTTCAATGTCTTGTAATTTATTTACTGGATAATTGTAACCATTTTCGATAAAATTCTCATAGGATGTTAATTTCATTTTACTATTATTTTTCCCAGAGTAAAATAATCCTAATTTGTTTATTTTTTCATTGAAAACACAATGACAACTTTTAATCGAATCATTTTCATTTAAAAAACACTCTTCAATTTTTTTCAAATTAACTTTAATCCCATATTTTTTAACAATTTCATAACTTCTGCATATGAAAAATAATTTTTCATTTTCAAATTTAACAATATCCCCTGTGTTTCGAAAAACTAATTCTTGAGAATTTAAAGAAGTTTCATCATCAATCAAACAAATTCTCTTATTGCTTCCAATCAATAACTCATTTTTATCATTCAACTTATAAACAATATTATTTAGCTCACTACCCAAAGGTACTTCTTCGCAAGATGAATTAAATGGTATTTCATACATGAATGACCAACAGGAAATTTCTGTTATTCCATACAAATTGTAAATTTTGGTTTTATTGTCAGGAGGTTTTAAATTTAATATTTCTTTAGGAAATTTTTCACCTCCAAACATTAAAATCCTTAAGGATGATTGATGTGATAAAATAACTTGTTTTATGCCATCATTAGTCCATCTTTTAAATAAAGAAGGGGTAATTTGTAATACGGTGACTTGTTTTCTTACAATTAACTTAATATTAACATGAATACAATCTTTACATTGTTTACATGGGTTAGATTGAATTTCATTTAAACATTCATTTTCTTGACTGTTAAATAATATCTTGAGCAAATTTGATGAGCACAATTTTAAAGAGTCTGATACAATTAATAATGTACAACCTCTTAAAAGGCAAAAAAATAATTCAATATAATATGGATCAAAAGTGAAAGGAGATGCTTGAAATATGCAATCCAATTCACTGATACAAAATTCATCACTTAATTCTTCAGCATTAGGTAATATACATGACCAAGGTACTTGAATTACTTTTAAAGTACCTGTTGTACCAGTTGTCATAATTCCATAACACATATCCCAATTATTGGTAAACTTTTCCTTATGAACAACATTTCTTTCATACAAAAAATACTTTTGATTATTAATATAAAAGCAGTTAGCTATCTTAAGGTTATAATCACTGCATTCATTATTTGAAATTATAAATTTGACAAATAGTAAATCTAAAAATTTTACATTGTCTTCTAATGAATATTGAGGCCCCAAACCAGCAACGGATAAGTTATTTTTCCATAAGGCAAGAAATAAAATTGGAAGAACAGAATAATCAGTTATTTGAATTCCTACATACCGAGAGATATTTTCATCAAATAATCTTGAAAATAAACATTTCAATTCATTAGAAACTTTATTTAATTCTCCATATGTTATACCAAAAGTTTCGCTACATTTTGAAACCCAACATATACTAATATTGTCAGAAAATTTCTGACAAATATTATAAAAGTTATTTAAAAACTTTTCTCTACTTTCCATTAAACTCAAACCATAATTTATTGACACGATAAAAAAAAACAAAATTTATAGTTTGTAATGTTTGTCACACTGTTTGCGCGGAAAATATTTTAATGATTATTTAAAAAAATTCCATTTTAAGTTTTTTTTTTTTTTTATCCTTTTTCTAACATATTCAAAAGATTTTAATAAAATATTTTTAATTAAAATATTATTAAAAAGAAGAAAGTTTTTTTAAAATTCTAACTTCTTCTAATATTTAATATTAAAATGAATGAATTTTTTCTTCCTTTTTTTAATCCTTTTTTTAATAAAATTTTATTATCATAATAAATCATTGGTTTTTAAAGATTAAAAATACTTTCTTTTTTTTTTTTTTTTCTCATTAAATCCATCCTTTTGATGAATAAATAATTTATGGAAAAACTTTTAAAATAATAATATTATTTTATAAAGAAAGAAAATTATTATACATTTACTAGGTAATATTGATGAGAGAAAAAAAAAAAAAATTTCCATGCAAATAATAAAATGACAAACAGAATAATTTTTACACTTGGTTTGAAAAAATAATGTCATTATAAATAATTTAATATTATTTTCGAAAAGTAAATACCTAGGGTATTGTTGTCTTATATCGATACATGAATTAGAAATAAATACATCTGTCTTTCGACCCTTTTTTGCAGTATTATGATATCCACCAAACAGATGTTTATATATATATATATATATTGTCATTATTATTTTATTGCCTTAAATTTTACAGGACTTCAGTAATGACCTATGAAAAATATTATTCAAAGTAATGAACAACTATTAAACATTCATACAATGCAATTGAAAAATAAAAAAAAATAATTTATTAACATTATTATTATTATAATTCACACATAAAGTCTGTATTCATTTCATTAAAGTATAGGCGTGGCTGCACTAAAGTTAAAATATCATAATAATTATATATATATATATATAACATAAAGTTGTCAGGGTAAATATTACACCCTATTATTATTATTTTTTTTATAAAAGTTTAAGGAAAGATTAATTAATCATTACACAGTATCACATTTTTTAATTATGTAATAAATTAATAATATTATTAAATCATCATTTCATTTTAAACTCATAATTATTTCATTGTAAGATTGTGTTTAACAATTTGAACTTTTTACAATATTTTAAATGTTTATATAAATTTTAATAAAATGATGTGTTCAATCAATTTTTAATAATAAATGTCAATTTTTTTATTCTATATCAAACCTTATACCTTGTGATTAACAAACAAAAAACCTTAAATTATGTTCTTTTAGTGTTTAACTAATAAAGATTTTCCCTAATGCTATTAAAAACAATTATCTGTATGCTTATTAACTAATTAATTAGTTTAAATAAAATCAAATTATACATAAAAACTAATTTTTGGTTGTGGAAAGAAAAAGAAAAGTTTTTTAATAACTTTGTACTGTTATAAAATTTGATTTAAATAAATTGAATGATTTAATTATTGTTATTAGTTATAACCTTTCATTTTGCATAATTATAATTCATTTCTAAAGATAAAAAAGCCTTTTTGTCTAATGTAAAACATAATTTAAAAGTTGTTAAATAATTAACAGTTGCAAGAATTTTATAAATTATGTTTAAACACACAAATTGTATGTTTTTTTTTTTCAATAAATTCAAGTTCCTGTGGTTTGTCCATTTTTGTGTGAAAAATAAGGGCAGGTGGTTCAAAGTTTACTCATCCACAATAAAAAAAATTGTTTCATATTATAATTGTATGGTTTTATGTAGGAGAACCAAATGACAATATGTTGTAATGATATACATATATAAATTTAATGCCAAAATCATCTACAAATAAAAAAAAAAGAAAATTTCTATTACAACTTTGCCATCATTCATCTTAATTTTGTAATTAACTCTTAAAAATTTTTTTTTTTTTTTTTGAGTTAGAACTTGAGTACACTTTTTTAAAATATGATTTTCTTGATATTTTTTAAGAAAACAGCTGACAAAAGCAAAAAAAAAAAAAAAAATCAACAAAGATAAAATTTTTTTAAAATGTTTGTCAAGCTTAAAATCAGGTTGTGCCTGGGATAATCAACACACCCTTAAAATCAACACACTTTTATCGATGGGTTTGTTTTTTTTTTTTTTCCTTTTTTGTTTCATAATTTTTTTCGATTAAAATCAAAGTAAAAATATTGATTCATACATGAGTGGTTACTTTAATAATTATAAACAAAAATAATTTAAAAAAAAAAAAATAAAATTCCAAATTCATAGATAAAACAAAGATGGCGTAAAGTTTGAGGAAACTTTTTATATTCATGAAATAAATAAATTATTGTCGATTTTTTTTTTTTATTTTATCGATGTGAAAAATATAATTGAAAATTAATTTTCTGTAAAAAAAAATTTTATATTTAATTCATTATGGTTTTGCCAAAAAAAAAAAAAAAAAAAAATTTCCTTTTGAATTTTCCAAAAGATAGAACGAACGGTTGGATTATTAAGTTCGTAAGCTTTCGGAAGTTTTCGGCGAACTTAAAAAGGAATTCCCTACCCCTTTGATTCGTCCCTCCCCATTCGATGGTTTCGTGAATGTTCGTCTCGGTATAGTTTTCAAAGCCAGTCGAGGACCGGCACTCCGATTTGCTAGCATTTCTATTTAGTTAATCGTTTTTTTTATTTATTTATTTATTTATTTTTTATTTTATTTAATTCTTTTTTTATTTATTGTACATAATTTAATTATATGTAAAAAAAAAAAAAACGTGTAAACGAGTATTTTGAGTGTTTTTAGGTTTATTGTTTTATATGTGATGTAATTATTTTTCATTTGTACATAATTTTCACAGTTCATTATTAATTAATTTTTTTTTTTTTATTATTTTTATTAATACTAAATTACCTTTTTGATTTTATTTTGTGTAACTTTTCGCGTTTTACAGGTTATATTGTTAAAAAAAAAAAATAAAATAATTTTTCATCATCGGTCATTTAGACAAATTATACTCCTGAAAAGGTTGTACTTTTTTATTAATTTTTTTAATTTTAAAAATGGCTAATTATGGTTTTTATTATTAAGTATTTACGAAATTTTCATTTTCTATTAATTTTTTTCAACATTCGGTTTTATTCAAATCAATTTTTTTTAACATTTTAAAATAAATGAATTATTATTCGAATGGGAAATTTATAATTATGTCAAAATGGATCTCTCATAAGTTTTTTATATTTTGATTGTTTTTAAAGAAGGCGGTGAAATTGTCTATTTTCACGTTCGAATGATTTCATCATTCGATTTGTATTTGAATTTTTGTTTCTGGGTAACGGTTACATCGTAGTACGCGTACGTGTTTGTGTGTCTGTTCATTTCTCGATCAATTTTTTTTTTTTTTTTTATTATTTTTACTTATTTGAATAATATTATTTATCAAGTTTTTTTAATAACTTATTTTTCGTTGGAAAAACTAATAAATCAATTTAAAAAAAATTTTCTCATAAGGTAACAAAACTTTATTAAATTTTCGACCGGATCGAAATTCCATAGAATAATTATATACGCGTTAATTTGTTGTCATGCAAAAGAAAGTTAAAAAAAAAAAAAAAAAAGTTGGAATGAATCGTTTGAAAAATAAATTTAAACATTTATTTTTTAATTTACTTAAATAGAAATTATTTTAAAATTTTTTAAATAAATAAATAAATAGATGAGACTAAATTTTGTTTTTTCGCTTTTCGATGTCGTATTGATGAATCCCATCGTTTAAAAAAAAAAAAAATTTTAAATAAACATTTTTTTTTTTTTTTAAATCGAATTTTGTTTATACGAATTTAATGTTTCGAATTAAAATTTACATGATTGCAATCGTTTTTATTAACAAAAAAATAATTTTACTACTTTACTTTTGTACGAATTTAATTTGTTAGAAATAGTTAAAGAATGCTTTGAATTTTTAAAAAAATGGATGTAAGGTATCTGACGTAATATCCGTTATGAATTTTTTTTTATAAATTATAATAAATATTGTACAAATGTTTGCTTTTGAAAAACCATAAAAGTTTTTTAAATTGAAAAAAAAAGTCGCGGCTCAAAGCCAAAAAAATAAACAGATTATTTATTTAAAAAAAAAAAAATTAAATAATTTCTATTTTGCCATTTTCCACCATTTTATTATTATTATTGTTCTTTTTTTTTTTCATAAGAAAATCACACACACACACACACACACACACCATGTTTTTTCTTTTTCTTTCTTTTCTCAGTTTTTTTATTTTTTATATAAACAGAAAAATTTGATGAATTGCTTAAAGGAAAAAGTGACAGAACCGTCGTTTCATTTTTTTAAAAAAAAGGAAAAAAAGGAAAATTTTCCTTTTTTTCCCATCTAACAATGAGTGTGAAAGAAAAATGATGATTATTTTCCCTCAAAAGAAAATTTCAAAGAAAAAAAAAAGGAAAATTTTAGTGTTTCTACTTATGCCTGAGGTTTTTTGGTTATGTTGTACAACATAAAAATAATAATAATAATTTTTATTTATTTATTTTTTTGTTTTATTTTTGATCAGATCGCGCACAATTTTACTACCCTAATAATTTTGGGCCTTATGTATATTTTTAAACTAAACGTATGCTTGTTCCTAAAAAAAATTATTAATAATAATAATAATAATAATAATAATAATGTTGAATTTATGACGAGGAAATTGTGAATTATTTAATAAATAACACACACACACACACATGTGAAAGTGTGTAACGAAAGACATTTTTTTAAACAGTTTATAAAATAGCAAATCGTTTGTTATTTTAAATGAAAAGTTAATATATGTATATATAGAAAAGAAAAAAGTGAAATTATGTGTTAACAATGTTATGTAAAATAAAAAAAAAATGAAATTAGTAAACCGAAATCTCGGGATTGTGAGTGAAAAAGTGTATTGACAGACTGGCGGACTGGCTGTTACGGGGAGCGGGGGGGTCAGTCGCCCGCCTGGCCCTG